TCCCTTTATTTCAATATTTCAGCGTAATATTACTTATAAAATACTAGGTTTCAGAATAATATTAATGCATAAAAAAATGGTTTATTATCATTTACAATTTATCATTGTACAATATCTGGAAGCAAAAATTCTTACGTCGAGTCCGACTCGACATAAAACTGCAAAGGGTTAAAACACCTTTCTCTTCTCTATGCACGCCGAAATCAGCACACTTTCAAAACACCGGATCGTTCTCACTCGGGAACAATCTCTGTGTACAGGCTACGTTGAAACACACATTTTCCAGCAATACGCCTCGATTACGGTAATCGGGAGGAGCAACAGGAACATTCGGCCACGACGAGGCATCACGCGCGGCTTTGTGTGCCGAAGTAGTCGCACAGAGATCGAGATGGTGGAATGAATGTATGTAGTAGGTGCAGGCTCGCGCATCGAAAACACCGAGGCGAAGCGGGTTGCTCGCCGACACCGGCGTTGTATACACTTATTTAGCGTGTAAACACTCGGGGGGTTTGCCAGAGGAGCAACAAGTGCCCACCGGTGTACCCAGCAGCTCTCGGTTTACACCGCACCGATACAGGCCTGTCTCGCACACACCTGACCGACAAGGTGAATGTGCATGGGTGTTTCATACGGATCCGGGATCCCGACGGAATCGGGAAAAGAAGGTCGGCTGGCGGTGTGATTGAAACAATAAGGATTTTCTGGTCTGGAGGTAAAGAAAGTAATTGGATAGACCAAATGGGAGTAATTGTTCGATGGTAAAGATTATTTTTCTTGAAATAGATAATGTTGATATTTATATTTGTATTCTGTTTTATTGCACAAGACTATTTGAAATATTAGAAATTATTAATATATGGATTTCCTCTAATTTTCTATGGAAATGATTGGTCTTTAGAATTAGTTTTGTAGCACAAGACATTGATTGTTTAAAATAAAGGAAATTATTCATATATGAATTTCTTCTGATTTATTATGGAAATGATTGGCCTTTAGAATACTTGTTAAACTACTTATAGTTTAATTTTGTTCGTAGATTGCATATTGCTGGGCCTTGTCAAATTTGTATACCAATGCATAATGCAGGCAATGTTTAATTTTTAGATTTAATTACACTTTTATTGTACTTTACGTCTGAAGAAGAACTGAAGGTTGAACTAAGATAATTTAACAGGTATTTCATGAACAGAATTCGAAGCGTGTATATTTAACGTTAGGTTTTCTAAGTGTGAAAATTGAATTAAAATTCCGCGCATTTAATTATACTTAGATAGCCCTACAAAATATAGAGGTACTTATTTTGTAATTTAGCCAAATATGACCAACATTTATATGGAAGTCTTAAGAATATTCTATATTCCACACCAATAAGAAATTATTGTTCATAATTGAACTAAGAAATTTAACAAAGTGTAATATTTTCAGTAAGAATGAGCACCCATATTTAAATATCAAGAAAATAAAATTTTACATAATAAAATTCAAATCCAAATTCGCAATAGTTTAGAAATTACTGATAAATAATATCTAAATATTGGTAAATCATGTTATATTTGATTATATAAAAATCTAGCCTACATTAAAAATAGGTCTGTTACACTATAAGCAGGTATGGTTACATAATTGTACAAGTTACAGTTAGTAAATTAACAATAAAACGTTCTTATACCCACTTGATTTCCCTACGTCGAATACGAATCACAGCAATCTTGTAAATCTTGCGTTTGAAAAAACAAAGTGCAAGTGAATTTTCACAAAAAAAAAAAAAAAAAAAAAAAAAAAAAACTGCATATATAAATCCAGCAACAGGACATAGTACATTTCTAATTGTACGCAATTAAACTAATCTCGCCGCTGGTTTTTCCGTCAATTCATTTTCCGGGTGTACCGGATCCATGTGCAAAAACGCGGCGCGCAAGCTCGCGTGCTGCTAAACGTATGTCGCTGCTCGAAGTAGAGATGCCGTTAAACGCGGTTGAATCGCCACGAAAGGATTCGCTTCCTGGTCTTGGCAAAAAGCCGCGTTTTAAGGCTGCGAAGCGGACAAGTGGACGCGCGAGGACCGACTATACACTGGCCATGCCAACGGAGTACTTTTGCGGACCGGAGATACGGGATTCTAGTGGAGAGAAGACGATTCAGAACATCCCTTTCTACGGCGTTTATACAGAAAGAAAGCGTCGAGGACAGTTTGCAAGTTGTGATACACATGAACGTGCATTCTATATCTTCGTTTGTAATGCCTCAGACGTTATTATTGCTTTTTTACGACGCTTATATCTTATTGGGAAATAACAAGGGAACTGCTACCAAGGTAAACTACGTTTCCTAAAATTACGAAACATTTGAAGATTAGATTTCGAGAATTAGATTCGTTGTTACGTTTAATATTAACCCTCTGCACTCGGAGATCTTTTTGCTATAGGAAAGGTTGCAAGTCGGATCTTCTTTGAAATTTTTTAAAACTAACGTATAAACTATACTATTTTACTTCAATATTCAATATGTTTTCTATTTTACTCTGGTGAGCAAATTTATGGAGGTTCATAGATCTGTTCTTTGTCTTGATTATTTATCATGTGACAATTATTTAATGTCGCTTCTCAGTCGCCACTCGATTGCAAAGGGTTAAGTGTTCTTGAATATAAGTTTCAAAAATGTCTCGTTAAATATCTTTTGTTGTCGAGAGAGATTTTATTTTAGGAAAACTCCTAAATAGAAGGTGTATCATAATTATTTTACCCTTGATATTATTTACATTAGGCAAATTGGTGAATAAAAATGAACTGTAAATTCAGACATCTTGAAATCAGACCAACCAAGTCTGTTACAAAATAGATAAACATTCCTATCAGGTACTTACACTTCCTGTCAAAAATCAATAAGAATTTTTACATAAATTCGATTCTTATCGTATTTTCAAATTCACAAATACTTGTACGAAATTAAAATGATATGTTTTATTACAACAATTACACGCGTACGCAACGCGAACTTGTTGGAGGATCGTAGAGAAGAGGAAAGAGTTAGCATTGGACGGACACCGTTTAAATATTTACGGGGATTTAAAATTCCGCTACAGCCGTTTCTTTTGACAAGACAAACTTTCGGAATATTTACGATTACGGCAATTTCGTTTTACTTATGTAAAAGCTGCTTGAGTTATCGCGTTTCCATTAAAAACTGAAATTGCGCGGCCGGCCGTCCGATCTAAAAGTGGTACAGTTTCTTTTTATTCTCGGAGCTAAGAACTGGAATGAAATTCGTTTGAGCGAAGTTTAAATTACCCCTTTGCCCCATCCGATCCTTGACTGTGGCAGCCCTACCTTCACACTAATTGACTTAATTTCTGCACTGATTACGAGGTTATTTGCAGCTGTTTTAAACGCCACGAAACTGGATCTGTATCTTTTCAAACGATTCATCTACGCCCAGCGAAATACCAGATATATCTGATAGAATTACCCCTCTGCTGATACCAGTTTCATCACGAGCTTCTATTTTAAGTGCATTTAATGCATTTCAGTCAATTTCGTGAAAAGTAAGATCTACTTACTTGCCACTTTCGTCGTCGTACAAGACATTTTCTAACAAATTTTTCAAACATAGCCTTCTGAAAATACGTTTGTTCTATTTAAGATCAACTAACAGCACGTATTCTTACGATACATTTAGAAGAAAAGAGAAGAAATAATGATAAAGATGTTTCGTTGCTTGTAAATGCTGAAAAATCTTCTGTTGCAGATAAATTGTGACAATTGAAAATTTTGTTCAATCTTCTATTACTATTACAGTAATTTTAATGTTACTCAAATCATACTATGAATATTTCACGATTACATTACTATCAGTTTAATTAATTATTACTTGTGCAATATTTAATTTTCTAGTATCTAGAATCCAATTTCCTAGAATGCTTTTGAAATACTTCAAAAATTTGTTTGTGATATACAGAATAAATCAGAAGAAAAAAGACTTAATACTAAAATAATGATATAAAAAAATTAATATTTGAGAACCACCCAATTATTTCACTATTAAATGGTAGATGGTGTTTGTTAACTTTAAGCTTTACTTGGGTTAATTTATAGATTTAAATTGATGTATAATAAGCTTTATCCAGTAGCAAATTTAAAGAAGTAATTCTGAAAATCCTGCACAATAAATGATCAGATTGGGCTATATATATATATATATTCAGATGTTGAGAACATTGAGGAACAATAGGACACAAAATTAACTTCGACGAAACTGAAGTTATTTCTAAACCAAAAGGATATTCTCCCAGAAAATATAGGGAAACGTTGGAGATTATGAAACACCCTAACAACATCAATGGGGATACAGGACACCAGTTGAACCCAATCTGGAGCTTTCTCCCTCCCAGTTTTCAATTTTTCAGCTGAACAATTGAAGATCTTTCTGATTAGCAAGCAGTGGACTGGAACATGAAAACAATGAACCAGAACATGAGTTAAATAATGCACCATCGTTAGACACACGTCACTATCAGCGTGTCATTCGAACTTTGCGAGCTGCTATGCTTGTAACACGTCGGAATACTTTTTTCACAAGGACACAGTTTAAACCTGGAAGTCACAACAGTAATAACTACACATAAGTCATGAAAGCCTCGAATCATCGAGCTTACGCAGCATGTGAAATCGGTCATCTCATATGCAACAACCTGATACACTCACGAACGAGGATGTACAAGTAAAACCTAAGGTTCCACAAGATTTCTCGCAAATACACGATAATGCAGCTATTAAACGCTTGAAACGTCACCCTCTGTAAGGAACCTTTCGTCGAACGGAGACGAACAAATCGGTGGCAAGAAGGAGCGAATCATTTTAATCTCTGACGATAGAATCGTTCGCTCGCGAGGAAGTTTAAATTACGTTCGAAGGAGCGGCATGCCGCTCGTCATTTTACCCCTGCCGACCATCAGTGCCTTCTTTAACTTCCGCAGAAAAGAAGGCCCGACCTGCTTGGTACTACGGTAGGCAACCCGGGTATCCCTTGGAACTTAACTTTCTTCCTGATTGACGTTCGGTTATTGTCGCATTTGCATAACTCACCCCAGCGTCGCGGGCCAAGTCCCTTTTGCGTCTTCTCTTCTGTCGCCGCGTCTCGAAGATGCTAACCAAGAGACAAGAACGTGAGCGAAGACGAACCCGCTTCGCCAGACAGAGGTAGCAGGAGTTCGAAGGAGCAAAAAGAAGGAGGACGGAGAGAGAGAGGGAGAGAGAAAGGTAGAAGGGAAAAAGGAAGACGTCGGTGAAGGAACGAGAGAAGAATGCGGGAACGGCCGCGTGTCAAATCGAATTTGCCTCATTTGCCCTGAACGGCGACTCTGCCGGCACGGGAATCTATTAGAATAATTTTTATGAATCTAATTTTAAATTCCAGCCAACGAAGTTACTTTACTGTCACGCTGTCAGTGGCTCTTTATTAAGTGGTCCTCCTTGCACAGCCGGTCTCCATGCTGCCGGAACTCATGACCCATCGGAAGCGAATAATTGAAATAATTCCTCCCGTCTAATTTCTACCCCACTCCAACCCTGCCCTCCCACTGCCAGCATCGTCGGACGGTGTCGCGAGGACATCGCGAAGGAAACGAGATTTCGTCGATTACCACTGAATACGACCGATTGTATTATTCAAAACAGCGTGGCGGCGATTCCCGCGAACTCGGCCACGCACAACTAAATCACGTTGCCCGTGCTCTAACTTCGCGCCAGACCAGCTGGCTATTAGATTAAGGACCATCGACGATTACCCTGCTTCTCACCTGTCACGAACGATGTCTCACTGAGAGAAATTACGTTTCGACGTTTTACGACAATTTCATAAAGCTGATCCGGGATTCTTTTGTAATAAGATATAATAAAAGTTTCTTCTACTTTTTTTTTCTTTTATGCAAATAAAAATTTTAGTAATTTTTTTTAATAAAGTATACAATACCATAATTTAAACATTTTCCTTATAATTTTCTGAGTAAATGAAGTTGGATAGTAATTAGTAAATACTGACTGATGAGTATACTGAGAAAATAAATTTGATTTACATGTACAATTGAAAATTGGAAAAACTAAATAGAATGGTGGGAACTGC